CCATCTTGTCGCTGCAGGGCAGGGAGAGGAGGAGCTTCAAATCGGGATATTCTTGCCCCGTGGAAGGGGGGGCCTGGCTCCCAAGGGGACAATGGTGCAGATCCCCCTCCCCCCGTGGGCACTCCAGGGGGGGCCCTCCCTCTGTCATGGACAGAACTGTTGCTGGCCTGCAGGGCCGGGGTGGGCTCGGCTCGACTGCCTCCAGGGGGCTTCCCTCTCCCACCCTGCTCTGCAGATCCCCCGCCCTCCTTGCGCCCAACAGCAGCCTCCTCTGGGGGCACCCCCTGGCAACCAACACAGTGCCACCCCACTTAGGGTACCTCTAAGTACTCTGGTGGCTCTAGAGACCCATGCCTTGCCCACCCTGGCACGCGAGGCCTGGACAAACAAGATCGAGGCCTCGTCGCCGACCAGCATGCCCCAAGGGACCCACAAGGACACCGACTTCTCGGCCCAGGCCTCCACGGCCTCCCTTTGACACCGACCTGGACTTGGCTTAGAATAGGATGGGGGGGGCGGTGGAGGAAGGTCTAGAGACGACCTCTCCTTTGCCCGGGCTGCTGGCGCTGGCTGTCACAAAGGCAGCAGAGCAGCTTCTGACCTAATCCCAGGGGGAAAGCTGACCCCCCCCCCCGTGCATTATAGGTAGGAGCCCAGGAAAACCACGCATGGAGCGTGGAAACACGTTCCCAGTGCCCACAGGGCCAGTGGTAGAAGCCCCGGAGCCCAGATGGGGGAGCAGGAGTGCTTGGTGCGCAATGACACTGTAGGTACAGTGGGGGTCTCGGTGTGGTGGAAGGGGGGAAATCAATGGGACACAAGCGCTATAGGCCAGAGAGGGAGGCAGGCGTTGCGCTGTATGTCGGAGAGGGCGCAGAACTCAAATAAGCCAGAACACATTAGAGAAACAAACTCCCCAACAGGCATGTGTGGAATGACCGGGCTCTCCGGGTTACTGATAAAGTATACTGTCACCCACCTGATCAAGCACTTGAGGCTGATCTTGAGACAGACAAGGAAATAAGGGAGATGACTGAAACTGATATTGCTGTGATACTGAGAGACTTCAACTACCTTCACACTGACTGGGTAAACACGTGCCTGAGTCGTGCTGTGGAAATGAGGTTCCTAAGACATCATAAATGACAGCGCACTGGAACAGAGTTAACCCAGAGGGGTAGGGATCTTGGACTTGGTTGTGGGTGAGGGTTGAAACCTGATGCAACGTGTAGATGTTGTTACACTGAACGGGAACAGTGACTACAATGCTATTCAGGTTCAGCATTCATGTGTCAACAGAAAGTTACCCTTTAAAGGCCAAAACGGTAACATTTGATTTCAGAATAGGAAACTTTATAGAAAATAAGGGGTGTTTGTGTGAACTAGTTAGAAGGACGCTGAAAGGGAAACTCAAGAATCTAATCCCTAGAAGATGCTCGGATATATATAAATAATTGGTTTAAAACTGCGCTACTGGAAGGCCAGGTGGAATGCATTCCTCTGTTTAGGAAAGGCACTGCCAAGTCTGACAGGACGCCTGCATAGCTAATGACCCATGTTGTTGTTCAGTCGCAGTCGAGTCCAACTCTTCACAACCCCATCTAAAGTTGTACAGTCGAGTCCGACTCTTCGCAAAGAGAATGACCCATGTAAAGGAAGCCCAAAAAAAGCCAAAAAGGCTTCTTTGAAAAAGATCAGCCCCAATGAAGCGAGGGCAGCATCTGAAAAGAGACGTGCAAGTCAATCACTGGACATGCACAAAGAGAATTTGAGGAGCAGACTGCTAAGAGAAGTCAAGGAAAGCAATAAACTTTCCTTTAACTATCTCCAAAGCAGGAAGACAGCCAGAAAAGCAGTTGGGCCTTTAGAGGACCAAGGAATAAAAAGGACTGCTGAAGAAATATGGGGACGATGGCAGAGAAGATGAATTAATTCTTTGCATATGTGTTTCCTGGGGAAAGTGTGGGATACGATAAAAGGGTTGGAGCAGTTTCCCTATGAGGAAAGGTTAAAGCGCTTGCGGCTCTTTAGCTTGGAGAAACGACGGCTGAGGGATGACGTGATCGAGGTTTATAAGATTATGCGTGGGATAGAGCAGGTCGAGAAAGAGGTACTTTTCTCCCTTTCTCACAATACAAGAACTTGTGGGCACTCTGTGAAACTGCTGAGCAGTCGGGTAAAGGGAAGTCCTTCTTCACCCAAAGTGATTCACACATGGAATTCACTGCCACAGGAGGTGGTGGCAGCTACAAGCATGGACAACTTCATCAAGAGGGAATTGGATAAGCATCTAGAGCTGAGGTCCATCAGTGGCTATTAGCCACAAGGCATAGACAGGAACTCTCAGTCTGGGGCAAGGGATGCTCTATATTCTTGGTGCTGGGGGGGGGCAACAGTGGGAGGGCTTCTGGAGTCCTGGCCCCACTGCTGGACCTCCTGATGGCCCCTGGTATTTTTGGCCACTGGGTGACAGTGTTGGACTGGATGGGCCTTTGGCCTGATCCAACGTTGGCGTCTCTTATGTTCTTATGCCTGGGGCAAGTGATGCTCTGTCTTCTTGGTGCTTGGGGGGGGGGGGTCAACAGTGGGAGGGCTTCTAGTGTCCTGGCCCCACTGGTGGGCCTCCTGGTGGCACTTGGTATTTTTGGCCACTGTGGGACACAGAGTGTTGGACTGGATGGGCCTTTGGCCTGATCCAACATTGGCTTCTCTTATGTTCTTATGTTCCATGCACAGCCAGTATTTTCAGGAAGGGAGCCTGAAGAACTGAGTCAAATTAAGGTGACGAGATGAAGCTCTGGACCTACTGGAGAAACCAAAAACCAGTAAGCCTCTGGGTCCTGATGGCATACACCCGAGAGAGGTCTTAAGGATCTACCAACCCACATATGTGACTGTCACCAACATCAGCCTCTGGACTAGGCGGCTGAGGAGTAGATGTTACCAAGGCTCCCTCTAAGCTGTGGAGTCCTGTGAGCAAAAACTCTACTTTGTGAGCTACTGGCACTAAAGTTGTGAGCGAGCCGTTTGGCTACAGCACAAATCCTTCCTAAACGAAGACAAAAATGTGATAGCTGGCAGAGGTTAAAAAACTGTGAGCTCGCTCACACTAACTCAGCTTAGAGGGAACACTGGACGTTACACCAAGGAAGCAGAGTAGGAGGAATAAGAAGACGGCTCCTCCCAGTAAAGGGAAGTCGTGGAGTCCCACCAGGATCAGGATGGGGACCACTGCTATTTAAGTTTGTTCAAAACTGATCTGCCACTGGGGGTGAGCAGTTCAGAGGCCAGATTTGTGGATGACACAAAATAATTCAGGATGGTGAAAAACAAGGCCGACTACGAAGAGACTCAGGAGGCTCCCCAAAAATCGGGTGAGTGGGCAACCATGTGACAAGGTGAAGCTCAGTGCCGGTCAGTTTCAGGTGATCCACACTGGAACAAAAAATCCCAACTTCAGGTATAGGAGACAGGTGCCCGAACTTGTTGAGGCTAAGAGGGAAAGATGGAGGGAGACCTTGGGGCTGTACTGAATAGCGCAATGAAAGCGCCAACCCTGTGTGCTGCAACAGAGGGAACCAGGGGTCGATTCGGGGGATCGCCATTCCCCCGGGTGAGATGCGGGGGGCGGGGCACACGACGAAGCCCCGCCCCCTGCTTCCAGTCGGGGTAAAATGGCGATTTGACGCACCCTGTAAGTGCTCAGGGTGGACGGGTGTTCCTTACAGCAGTTTGGACTGTATTTTGGTCCAACGCGGCTTCCCCCAGGCAGGGGGAACGACTGGCAGGCATCGAGACCCAAGAGAGAGTTGAGATCAGTGTGATCAAGTCTTGGAGGACGCTTGTATTGCACTTTGATCCCCTCTCCCGAAGCTGGCGAGCGCATTCAGGGGGTGTGGCCTTATGACACACTTCCGGTGATGTCAGGGTGTCTGGCTTTTGCTAATGAGTTATGCTAATGAGTTCCCCTAGCACTTTTTCTACGAAACGACCTCTGGAGGGAACTATGCTGGGGACTGCTAGGAAAAGGACTGAAAATAAATTGGCTGATATTACAATGCCCTTTGTATAGATCTATGGCGTGGCCTTACTCAGGATATCGTGCGCACCAGTTCTGATCAAAGGCGGGAGAGGGCAACCTGGGCGCATGGAGGTGGTGCCTGTGAGCACCAAGGGCCAGGCACCCCTCAAAAGGGGGGAGGTTTAAACCATCCTGCACTTCAGTCCTGACTTCTGGAATGGGGGGGGGGGCGCAGAAGAGCCCCCTGACCGTCTCCCCTGCCTCTCCACGGCCTGCAAGCACCCTTCATCGAGGGTCCCCATCTGCTGCCCACCCGTAAGGTCTCTGTCCTGGCCGGTTGTCCCAGCAAGAGAATACAAAGGCAGGACCAAATCCATCCCTGTGGCTCTGCTGGGAGCACCGAGGCTTGCAGAACTCTGGCCCTCGTTGAACAGCCACGGTGCACTCTCTCCCCTCCGGTGAGCTGCCTTCCTCCTCCTGTGCCCACTGGCGATGGCATTGTCTGTGCCACCCCAAAACCTGCTGGACACGGTCCGCTCTCCGCCAACTCCGCCCCTGCCGCCATGAGCTCCGGTCAGACCAGCCCCCCCCCCCGTCTTCCCCTTTCTGACGCAGCATTAGCAGTTCTGGCCCAGGGGAGCTCAGGAGGCCCAGGGAGGAAGGGTCCTCCAGGGAAAACAAGAGGGGCAGAGACCCCTCCCGCAGCCCCCCTCCCCTACAGTCAAGCCGCGGCCGACTTGTAGCAACCTCAGAGGGCTTTCGAGGCAAGAGGTGGTCAGCGGCGGTTGGCCATAGCCGGACTTCCATTCCAACCTCCCCTCCCAGCACTGGCCGCAGCCAGCCAGGTTGCATTCTTCCTCCACGGAGCACGAGCTGCAGGTGCAGTCTATCTGAGCCCCAGAGCCGGAAGCCCCACAGCAGCCAGTGGCGGGCCGCTCCCCAACAGCCCCCACAGAAGGACTTCCAAGCAGAGGGCTGGACTAAGACCATGATTGGTTTTACTAAGTTCAAAGCCAAGTGGGGGTGGGGGTGGGGGGTGGCCAGCAGCCAGCCCAGGGCCCCCCCCCCGGGCAGAGGCCGTTCAGCGGGAGATGGCGGCAGATGCCCCACAGAAGCAGCTGGGCCCCCCTCCCTCTGAAAATAAATTAACTTGTCCCCCCCCCAGTTCTCTCTTCATGATTGGCTTAGATGCAAGAAGCCACGACAGACACAGAGGGAGGCAGGACCGCTGGGGGGGTGGGGTGGGGGGGTGCTCCTGGCCCCGCACTCGCCTCCTTGCACCCCGCAGGCCCCGGATCCTGCTGCCCTCAGGCACTGAGGAAGAACTTCCGGTAGAACTTGTTCATCTGCTCCAAGAAGATGAAGGTGAGGACCGTGTGGGGGCCCAGGCGGGCGTAGTAGGGGGTGAAGCCTTTCCACAGGCTGAAGAAACCCTCGTAGCGGACCACCTTCATCAGCACGTCCTGCAAAGCCCGGCCAGAGAGGAGCCAGGTGAGCGCTCAGGCCGGAGCGGGGCCCTCTGCCCCCCCGGCCCCAAGAAGGACCAGCCCAGACCAAGGCTCCCTTCTAAGCTGTGGAGTCTTGTGAGCTCTCCTGGGCATTCAAGTTTTGAGCAAGCGATTTGGCTGCTGCATGAATTAGTTTGCTCTGGAGCCGAGCCCTCCCTCCTGAGCTAAGACAGAGATATGTGAGCCGGAGGCTAAAAAACTGTGAGCTGGCTCACACTCACTCAGCTGAGAGGGAACCCTGGTCCAGACCAATGTTCCCCCTAAGCTGTGAAGTCTTGTGAACGAAAGTTCTACTTTGTGAGCTCCTGGCGTTCCAGTTGTGAGCGAGTGATTTGGCTGCTGCACGAATCAGTTTGCTCTGGAGCCATCCCTTCCTGAGCCGAGACGAAAATGTGTGAGCTGGAGGCTAAAAAACTATGAACTAGCTCACACTAACTCAGCTTAGAGGGAACCCTGGTCCAGACCTCCACCCCACCCCCACGAGACGGCCATAAGGTCGAGGCGTGTGCAGGTGGCACTGGCTGGGGGGGGCCTCTGCTTTCCCCCCCCCCCCCCCCCCGCCCCTCCCTTGGAGTCCCAAGGAGGCGGGAGCCAGCCGGGAGGCACCCTGCCCTGGGCAGCCCTGGCACTCGCGGGACACCACTGGAGAGGAGGCAGACCGGCCAGACGTTTGCTCCGGCAGCCACGTCCCGCCGGTGACATGGACAGCAGGGAGGAGAGGGGACGCGGGCACCTCTGAGCCTCCAGGAGAAGTCCTGGCTCCCCCCCCCCCCCAACCCCCCCCCTCTGGCTCCAA